CGGCGGCTGGGGGGCAGCCAGGAGACCATCGCCAGCCTCAAGTCCCAGCCCCAGCAGATAAAGGTGAGCACCACAGGGCTCTATCCATCTCTCCTGGCCGGGAAAGTGGAGCTGGGCTGGGTGCCCAGTGGGTGCCCTGCAAGTGCCTCTGCCCTGAGCACATCAGCACAGCACCGTGATTTTGTAAATTAGCCCCCCTGGGCCAATGCCAGCTCCATCCTGGCCCCCTCGGGTGCTGCTTCCCCAGCACATCCCACCTCTGGGTGCTTTCCCCCCCAGTACATCATCAAGACGGTGGAGGTGGAGTCAGCCAAGGTGAAGCAAGCCCTGTGCGAGAGCCAGTCCCGAAACCAGTACCTGCAGGAGCAGGTGGGGATGCAGAGGCAGGTGCTGAAGGAGATGGAGCAGCAGCTGCAGAGCTCCCAGAAGACGGCAGCTCAGCTCCGAGCTCAGGTCCGAACACAACCGGTACAAATCGGGAAACAGCCTGCCCGGCTTCACAGCAGTTCCCGCCTGTGCGGTGCTTGCCGGGTGATTGCAGCAGCAGGCGGTAGCCGGCTCGGCATCACGCACCCTGCACCTCCCCCAGATTGTGATGTACGAGGCAGAGCTGGAGCGAGCCCATGGGCAGATGCTGGAGGAGATGCAGGCCATGGAGGAGGAGAAGAACCGTGCCATCGAAGAAGCGTTTTCCCGCGCCCAAGTGGAGATGAAGGCAGTGCACGAAAACCTGGCGGGTGAGGAGGGGACGGGGGGCTTGCAGGGCCACCCGGCCACTGTTGGGGGGAGTGTCGTGCCACCGGCCCCCCACCCTGCCTTGTGCCTGCAGGCGTCCGGACCAACCTGCTGACACTGCACCCAGCGCTGCGCACCCTCACCCACGACTACAACAGCCTGAAGCGTCAGGTCCGCGACTTCCCCCTGCTCCTCCAGGAGACCCTGCAGAGTGCCAGGGCTGAGGTGAGCCCGCTGGGACCACCACCCCAGCTCTTCCCCATGCCTGCTGGGGATGCTGGGGCAGGGGGGGGGAGGTGTCGTGGAGCTGCAGCTCTCCATCATCCCCCAGATCGGCCAGGCCATTGAGGATGTACACAGCACCAACCGGGAGCTGCTGCGCAAGTACCGGCGGGAGCTGCAGCTCCGCAAGAAGTGTCACAACGAGCTGGTGCGGCTGAAAGGTGTGCAGGAGGTGGCGGGCCCCTTCATGGGGGTTATGTCCCTGGGGGGAGCAGGACCGCCAGGGGAGCATCACCCCCCTGCACCCCAGCACTGTGGCTTGGGTGCTCTGTGTCCCCATAAGCTGCCCAGGTTGGCAATAGGGTGCTTGGGCGGGCAGTGGGGCACAGTCTTCAGCCCGGGTGGCAGCGGGATGCGCCGGGGCTGACACCATCTCTGCATCCCCCGCCCAAGGAAACATCCGTGTTTTTGGGCGAGTCCGCCCCATCACAAAGGAGGACGGTGAGGGCCCAGAGGCGGCCAACGCGGTGACCTTCGACGCCGACGATGATGCCATCCTGCACCTCTTGCACAAGGGGAAGCAAGTGTCCTTCGAGCTGGATAAGGTCTTCCCCCCACAAGCATCCCAGGAGGAGGTGGGTGCTGCCGTCCCGTGGGGACGGGAGTGCTGCTGGCCTGAGGGGGGCATGCAGGCACCTTCTCCTGCTGCTCCCCGGTCTCCCCCAGGTGTTTCAGGAGGTTCAAGCCCTGGTGACCTCCTGCATCGATGGCTACAACGTCTGCATCTTTGCCTATGGGCAGACAGGGGCAGGGAAAACCTACACGATGGAGGTGAATTTGCCTGGCTTTTTGCTTCCCTCTTCTTCCTCAGCCTCCCATCCCATGGTGCCCAGGCTCCCTAAACCAAGCTGTTGGCCAGCTTGGGCCGGGGGTGCACCAGTGGTGGTCGCTCTGCTGCCCAGGGCGTTGTGCAGCCCTGCGCAACACCCCCTGGGCTTTGCTC